ACAGAAGGAGGTTTTTAAGATGCTGGTGTTTCTCGTGACGCCATTGAGCTGGGGTTGAAATTACAGCAACACAGACAGCCACAGAGCCCTCCACGGCTTTATATGTCGTGTGTGTGGATTTGTGGGGGTTGCACAGTTCACAGTTCAGGGGCAAAACACTCCCTTGGCAGCCCTGTAGAGAGTTATGGCCCATTAGACAGATCCTGTAATCAATACACACCCTATCGTCCCAAAGCCCATCATTAACATAGACGCTGGACAGCTCGCTTTTAGTTTGTCTCCCCAAACCAGGAGTGCAGCTTTCTCCACTCCAGCTGGTGTGTCTGTTTGTAGGTTGCAATTGGGTCTTGTTCTGGCCTCCTGTGCCACATGTTTTTCTAATTGCTACCATAGACGAAAGCGTGGTGAAATGAAGTAGTAGTCAGCGTCTGGACCTAGACATCTTCCTGTATAATTTCTTTTTTGTTTATTTGAACGTCTTTGTTCGTGAGCTGTTCGTAATACGGAAATAATGAAGAGAGAAGTAAAAGCATTCTTGCAGTACACTTGTTTTGCTTCTCTTTTTTTTAACAACGTCATGATGCAAAAAAGTGCACATGCTCCTACAGATCTCCCTGCAGATACCCAAAAAAAGAGACTGGGCTTTATTGACTTGCAGATTAACATTAACAACAAGCAGCCCTCTCCTTCAGTCACACACACGCTCACAGAGGCCACAGTGTTGTTAGGGCAGCCCATAGCCGACCATATATCATAGCACCCTCCTGCTTAAAGACCATATGGAAGTTGTTGGGATGTGATCCCTCAGGATGATGGGGTTTGTGGGTTTTTGGTGAACACCACGTCTCACAGAGTCAGCTTTACAAGTTGCGGGCGCACGCCCCCAGATCCAGATATCCTCCACAGAGCGCCCCAGCATGTGGCTCATTAGAAGCTGAATGTGGGAGTTTGAGGAGTGCGGTGGAGGCATGATATAGCGTGGCTAAAAGTAATGTACACAGTGTCATGGGTCAGATGTAGGTTAACAAAATCCCCCCACAGAGCTGAGGTGGGTTAGGAGAATAAAAGCTGCAACTACTGTATTGGACTGAAAAACCCATACTGATTGAAAAATGTGCATCTATGACAGAGGCACCTTAATTTGGTGAAATATTACGCTTGTAAGACTTACCACAAAGAGAAAATAAAGGATCTGTCAAACAGTGTCAGGCTCCCTTCCTTCTGCTTCTGATTAGAACAATAGGGAAGTTTGATTCTGAGCTTTTAATGAAAGCATGCAGAGTTACAGTAACAGCACTTCGGTTGTAGACAGCAAAGTTAGCGTTTGGCAAGCCTGAAATGATAGCACTTACTCTGGCAACCATGTGGAAATCACATGTTGTAAAGAGATTAACACTCACTTGAAATGATTAGCATTGAGAGGCAATTGTATTAACTGCTCAATAGACCAATTCTTACTTCTTCAGTGGATAGTGAGTCCAAATTTTTAACCTTGTCTCTCCCCGCTGCCTCCCACAATCTTGAACACTTGACCTATTTCATGAGATCTGTTAGGGTCTGTGGTGACTCCTACAGAGAGGCTCCTGCTGTCATCACAGGAGGTTTGCCAGACTACATATTCAGTCAGAGGAGTTTTACAAATGTCTGTGACAGTGCACACGTTCTACCGACAGTATGAAAACTTACTATTTTCTAGAGTATATTCAGAGAGATGGCTACACTGCAACAGCCAAAGAGGTAAGTTGCTCCAACCAACATTTCTAATGCCATTTTACCTTTCATTCTTATTTCCTAGCTTCCTGTCTCCCTTTTCAGGGTTTGAAAGGGCCTTCAGTCAAGCCTTTTGTCATATTCGACTAAATTCTAATCTCCGGAGCAGCTCCCAGTTTCTAAATCTCATAATGACGCTCAGGCTGTAGAGTAGTCCTTCCCAAGAGCATTGCGATTATGCTTTCATTATCAATATTATTTTCCAAAATGTCAGGTTTCCTCTGGTAGCACTGTTGACCTATGTAAAGCGAGGAGATTTCGCTACATGTTTGAGCTATCTCAGATATTGGTTTCAAATTGCCCTTTGCTGAATGAAAGGACTATAAAGATTTGATGGGTTGTATTACTTTGAGTCAGAGAGAGGGAAAGAAGAATCTCTGGTGGATTGTAATGGACTGGAAACGAGCGCTAAGTTGGAAATGAGAGTCCAGAGGAGGGGGGGGACAAGAATGGTAATTTTCCTTGGATATACACGCACATGCAAACCTAAGCTTGTAACAGGTAACAGTAACCCACTAGGGAAATTATGAACAATACTTACCTCAATAATGACCCCCAGGTTGCTTGTAATACATGTACAGAATTCCTCTTCTGATCGCCTAAAAACCAACCAAGAACTTTGACAGAAGAAATAACTTACATTATATGAAAAGTGCTTCTTTAACCCCCAAGTGAGTACTATTTGGCGAAGGATGGATATTTGTATTCACCATAGCTGTCAGGCATTGCTTTAGAGATGTTACTCAGACACTGAAGACCTCCTCAAACTTTCTCGATGAGTATCAAGATTGAGGGGGTTTGAAGACATCTGACTCACTTCGATATGAAGTTGAAGATATTTTAGCTAAGCCCAAAGAAAATGCTGTTTCCATATTAATAATGTGTTTTATTACTTATTCGTCTGGATCAGCATGTTTGTTTGGAAGGTTCCGAGCTGCCAACAACAGTCTAATAGTCTCCTCTTTTCAGATGACTGGATTTGGACACAATCTCCAAAAACTTGGCCAGTCTGTCTCAGTCATAATTAAGGCTGAAGTGGCAATGCCAGGAATGTTTGCCATTTCTCCTCTTTTATTTCCGATGGATTCTCATTTTATTATTACTCTCGCAAAGTAATAATTGCTGCACATATTTGTGAAATGGGTGGAATGCGAGGCAATTAGTTTTAATGATGTGCAAGACAAATCTGTACGACAGCAATTACTGCGACATTGTGCTCAACAGCCCAGAGGCAGGGCGCAGAGACAACACAGAGGGGCAGTGACACCGTATGCCGCAGCCACGCAAGAGGCTTCATGTGGGGCACATGTCAGGCCCAGAGTCACTGACCTGTCCACTCTATTGTCAGCGCAGGCGACATGTTTGTCTGGTGTCAGGTCACACGTCACTCGTCTGAACACATATCCCATCAGAAGCCAACCGTGAACCGCCATTTATTGGGTTATTTTTCTGCCCTGCGCTGTTTCTCGTTTCAATTGAGACAGTTTATTTGAAGAATGCAGTTTCACACATTACCAAGTTCTCCCCCTGTAGCATAATGTCACTGGAATCTGTGGCCTATTTGATTCCCCACTTTATCCCCAAACTTGAGGTTAAACAGACTCTGGACAAGGCGATGGCACTGAGCCAGCCTGTACTTTACTTAGATGATGTATTTAACTCCTTGCCAAACAGAGCTCAGGCAATTCCTGTTTTATCCCATGATGGAAAATTCGGATCATGTACCAAGTTACACAAATCCACAACCACATTTCTCTAGATGTGTATGCTTCATCAAAAAATGGTCTACATTTTCCTCAGAGTAGTTAAAATGAAATGCTCGAGTGAATTAGTTGGTCTAAATAAAATTTGCTTCACCATAAAGCAGAAGAGAGTGGTGATTGTCTGATATTTAATCCTCAATTTGTTAGTTTTCTCATCATACCGCAGACTGATGATACGTAATACAGTGGTCTTTCAATTAACATGTATCATGATCTGAGAAACCCTAATTACAGAGCTTCATTTGGCTCTCTTTGTGGGAATAAGTCTATGGAATAAAAGTCTGACGCGACTCTTGTTAATAAAGCGTTGTCATGTTTGGGGCCACTGTACTTTCACTCAAGACTAAAAGAAACATTAAAAGTGGCCCCGGAGTCTGAGCAGTATCGCAATAACAGGAAGCGTGCAGCAGGTAGAGCGCTGTTCGCACCCAGTGGGGCCCTTTTGGACTGCCAGCGCTCCTCTCTGCCAAGAGCCGTGGCAGCGTTCCTGCCTGCGATCTGTGAGTGTCCACAGCATCTGTGTCAATAGCATTCCATAGCCCTGTTGACAGAGTGCCGCTGTTTGTTTTAGCCACCACAGACCAGTGGCCTGATTTACTGTTTGAGGACAATGTCATAAATCCTCAATTGCTGTCTTCTACATACATGTGTGTCACAAGATCGAGAGCTTGTTTACTTTAATTGCGTGCCACAGCTCTTTCAGTGCTTCAAGTATCTGGAGTGTGATGGGAGGGTGTGGGGTGGGCTGGTAGAGTGACACAGATTATTTTTCCATGACCATGAAATGACCTCAATACTGTGCATTTGCAGACTATTGATAAATATTATGCGCACATTCGTCTTGTAGGTACAGTAAGCCCCTTCAGATTCAGTTTGTTTTTCAAATAAAAGATACAGCTCTTACAGGCATTTTCTTTGATGAAGTGTCAGCTATTTGCAGTTGGCCTTCAGTAACCAGTTTTTCCCATTCGCTCATTTTTTTATGACCTCCTACTTTTATTACCTTTTTAAGCTGCCTGTGTTACAGTGAAAGCACACACTGGATTCTAGATCAGTGACGAAAGGTATTTTTAGGAAATCACTCTGTATAGAAATGCCGGCGGCACTAAACTCAGCCATGAACCTGAAGCATAGGCTTTACTTCAGTGATAAATTGGATAAGGATTTAATGTAAGTGATCATATACATTTAGACTAAACAGGGCAGTTAAAGACTCAAGAGAAATTGAACATGACAGCCCCTCCAGGCTCTCTGCTGAATGAAAAGGACAAAAAAGGTTGAGAAGTGAAACTAATGGCCCCTTGATTGAATCAATTTAAAGTGAGCCCCAGTGTTGAGATCAGGGGAAGGCATGAAGGAGCAGTAGCAGGAAAACCATTCCTGCTTCTGCTCCTTCATACAAGTGGGGGCACATGCTCTAACATGACCTGCTGAAAAACTTGATCTCCATCTGTGCTCTCTCTTCAGCTGACTGCCAGCCCCCCTGCCAGAACCGTGGCTCCTGCAGCCGGCCACATACCTGTGTGTGTCGCTCAGGCTTCCAGGGGCCCCGCTGTGAGGAGGTGGCTCCAGAGCAGGTGTACATCCATGACGGCGGCGCCCTAAGGCGTGTTCGACCCGGCACCAACCCTTTCCAGAAAGACCAACCACGGAGAAGGCCTTCAGAAAGGCAGGCCATCGACACCACCAAGGTTCAGACCCCACGACCTGCGACCACCAGGCAGCCTGTGTAAGTGATGCAGCTGTGCTTCTCCACCTCCTCTTATTATAGCCAGAGAGAGCCTCACAGCTTTGCCAAAAAAAGACAGATTAAAAAAACATTTAAATAGAAAGTTTTTCTATTGACTCTAACCAGAAAGCAATCATGGAAGGACTTCTTGTAGGGGTAGTTGATAAACTATGGTAGGCAAGCTGATGGCTAACACACTAGCAGTCGCTGCCTGACTATCACTGGTCAATCACAATAGTTCTCTGAGATTCTTTCTATTTTGTCCATGCTCATGATTGTACATTATTTGAGAGATAACACTCTAATGATAACAATCAGTCAATAAAGAGACATTAAGGAGGAAAAAAGGCAGAGTTAGCTAGCTTGTCAGTTGAATGCTAGCGTTAGCGATCAGTTAGCAAACTTGTTAGCTGGGTCACTAATGGGACAATAAGTTCGCTCAGTTTGTTCAAACGATGTACTTGCACCTTCAGCTCTTGAATAACTGTCTGGAAATGATTACTGTTTCATACGGCAACAAAGTTGGGGAGTCTCATTCTTTATTTTGATAACAGTGGTTTTTCAGAGCATATGAAAACTTTTTTTTTTTTATGTGGTGAACATATGTTAATATACAGTATTCTGTGTTATTTCACAGAGAGATATTTGTTTTAGCTACCATTACTGTCATACAGGCAGGCTCACAGAAAACAAATTGACACACTGCTCTATTAGAAATTATTTAAAGGCTCTTGAACAAACAGTAGTTCATTACACTCCTATTCAATGCTGGTTGTGTTTATCGTTGCAATAAATCAAACCAGATGACTAGGTTCATATGTTAAATCTTTAATACACTTTAAGTAAAACAAATACTAAGTAAATCAAGTAAGCTTTTGCTTCCATTTGCTGCCATGCCTGAAAATGTATTAAGTAAATCTGTAAAATATAGGAAAATATAAGATGATTTACCAGACAGAAGTATTAACCCATGCTATTTGCTTTGAAAACCGAGCAGGAAGATTATATTTTCTTTAGGCTTTGACTGTTTCAGCTCGTTCTTTGATGTAGTGGAATAACTGTGACTATAATGTATCCAGCTCATAATTGCTCAGACTAAGGGGTCTTTCAGTGCATTCAGCAAATTCTCCAAAGACTGCTAATCAGACAGGCCTAATAGTTTCTTGGCTTGAACGTCTGACTGTTTTAGTTCCAATCTTGTTGGAAACAACTTTTTGATTTGATTAATCACTTTACCATGGCTAGAACCATATTCATGATCAAGGATGTTGAAAGGGAGTAATTATTTCCGGGAATATTTTGATGGATTGTTATTGCTTACAGGTTCAGACTTATCTTGTCAAATTGTGCTCCATTTTGGACCCAGGCCCAGTGCTTTTCTAATCCGCTCACAGTTGGTTAAAGTGCCATAATTTGTTTGGGCACTGAGGTCATCATTCACTTTTTAGCCAGTTTGTCATCTGTGTAATTTCTCTCCACCAAACCACTTAAACATTCTCAATTACATCTGACATTTATGGTGCTCCTCTTGCTAATTGTGAGGGTCTTGTGTCATTTTGCGCTTTTACTGGTGCTATGGATTTACGTTGGCTGAGCCATCCACATGTTTGTGGTAGCTCTGAAACTCTGCTAAATGTTTTGGCAGATGGTTCATAAGAGTTTTTATACATCCTCCTATCCCAAAACGATTATCTTGGAGTCATAGTAAATCTTCTAATCAATACAAGACCTCTGTAGAGTGCACAGTTGCTATGCATATGTTTTCTTTGTTCTTGACTCACAGGACATTTTTGCGTCCTGAGTCACAGATCTGGGAAAAATAGAAAGAGACGAGGCTACAGGTTCAACATTGTAAGAGGCAGACAGTGTTCCTGAGTCACAATTGCCCGTACTACGTCTGCTTTCACAGTCATGTTTCTACTGAAGCTGACTAACTGTTTGTAATAGGTGCTGTTAAGTTCAAGATGAGCCATTTCCCTTTGCTGCAGTACAAAATTGCCAAGCACGCAGCTCAGACTAATCCAATTACTAGTTGACAGATTTCCCTGAAATCTTCAGGACAGAATAAAAACTTGTGCCAAAATTGTAAAATGCCTTCATTTAAACATTAGTCAAAAAATTATTTGAATATTTGATTCTCTTTCATTGGTACTTCCAGGAAGCAATTTGAGTGCTTGTGTAATGCACATTTAAAGCTCAGCCCTCGTGAACTGCTGCAAATGTTCTGCATTCTCTCGGCCCAGAATGATCTTTTAGGGGTGGAACAGTGTTCCCCCTGGAGAAGTGGTGGATGCAAGTCTTGGTTTCATATATCAGGCTGATGTTCCACTGTTTCCAAGGCTAGGAAAGCACGAGCAATGTGAGGTCACACAGAGTGAGAGTCAGATAGAGAGACAAGACCAGTGCCAAGGCTCAATTAAGGAGTAAGAAGAGGAGTGGGGAGGACAGACGCTCAGGCTCAGATAGATCATGTTGGTCTTGCCCCCACTTGAAGAAGCAAAGGCCACTCCGTACAAGCAGCACCCAGCCAGTCTCCTTTCATTTTTCCCTACTAGAGAAGGTGTGAGGTACTATATATGTCTTTCTTGGAGCGGACTTAACTTGTTATGTCAGGATCACCCTATTACTGACCCAGCCTGTCAAGTGGCGCCAAGAACAAGAAATAGTGTAGAGAAGGAATGAGACAGACAAGGGGGGACCGAACAAAAAGAATGATAATAAGAGAAAACATCAATCAGAGAAAGAAATTTGTGCAGCTGAAGAAGGGAAAGTGGCTGAGCAGTTTAAAGTCTTGAATCAGTTAAACTCTCCATACCTGCTGCTCGGCCTTACTTCTCACTATCCAGTCAGCTCTCGGTCACAGTCTGCACGTCAACAGACAGGGAAATTGTCGTGTCTGTGGTTGCTTTTAGGCGGTTTGTCAACATCTCAGTGAAGATGATGATTAACTCAATTTTCAGCAGGCCAGCACTTAAAATTTGTGCGGCTAGGCACAGGCTTTTTCGATTAGGCATTGAGCAACTAAAAGAGAATTTGCAGTCTGGTTACTCTGTTAAAGAGTAAGTGCTTTTATTAACACTTGATTGAAGTAGCCGTTTTTTTCTTTGGCATGGCTTTGACAGTAGGTGTTTTTAATTACCCGAATTATTTACTTGAGCAACATTTGCATGCATCAAATCGTTATAGACTTCTTTTGCAACAGCGTATTTTTTTGCGCTTACCCAATAACATTACATAAGTTATTCAGAATTTTTTAAGTGCCTTTCCAAAATGTGGTAACACTGAAATGGACAAGACCGTCAGAGTCAAATATTTAGATGCCCGCAAGATTTCCTGTCCAGCTAGCAGCTAGCAGTTTCCCTCAGTGCCTCAATGTTAATTTTCAGTCATCTCAGAACGAAACTCTGAGTTCAGACAGAATGCAAAGCTAATTTTGCCTCTAGAATTTTTGTGCAAATTTGTTGATAGGACTGTTTATTTACCCCAAACAGTACACCTAGATTATAGCTAGCTAGCAACCTAATCATTGTTACCCATCACTTACCACAGGGTAAGTGTGAAATTTTCACTTTCTGCTTGTGGGGACACATCTTTACTTAAACTGGTACCAGTCTGGGCGAATTAGCTTCTATCTTTGCCCAATTACAGCTTTTTCTATCTGAACACACCTTTGTGCTTGCTCTATTGCCCATATGGTATTACCACATCTGTCCATTCAAAAATGTAGCTTCTTTAAGCTGGAATTTCTCTCTGAAAATCTAATGATTGACATGTTGTCAGCCCTGTCCAAGCACACCTCCACTGTGAAATGTTATTTTAGAGTATAAACTGTTTCATGAATACTCCTGCTGGATGGGTCCAGCACATTTATCAGTGACAGCCTTGGGTAAAAGTCTTAGTGGGATGGACAAAACATATGAGGATCCTCCTGTTCAGTCAAAATTGTGAGACGTGAAAACAACTCCATACCCTACTCCCTCTTCTTGTATTCCTGTCTCCAGGCTTCCACCTTTCCTCTGACCCTTTCAACTGTGTCCCAAAGGTCTCAGCTGCCTGTTCTGTGAGATTCAAACTGTAAAATTGAAAATAGGTACATCCTATATGCAGCTGGCAAACAAATAACTGTTTCCTCCTCTGACCTGTGCGGTGGAACAAATGCATTTCGCTGCAACCCAGCGTTTCCTGTGAGTGCTGTGCTCAGCAGCAGTGAAAGGCTTGTCCCTGTCAGCACATGATCTTGCAGATCACAGCTGGTCTGTCAGCTCCCAGTACGAAGGTCAGGGCCAGTGGCGAACACTCCTGGCTAAGCTGGTGATAACACATAGAGGAGATATTCACCGACTCCTATGAGTCCTTCATATTAACGTCACACCCCTACCATTCTCTTACATCAGCCCTCTGCAGGAAACAGAGCAGGGCAGAGCAGGATGTGTGTGCAGTATGCCGGTCATCCCTCCAAAGGTCATCTCTCTCTGGTCTCTGATCTCTCTCTGGTTACATAATCAGAGTCAGGACAGCTGGGCTGGCAGCACCTACCTGAGTAACAGAGCTGTACAGTGATACTGCATTGGGTTCAAGTTGGTATAGTCTTTGAACTAGAGCTTAAACATACTGTAGATCTGATTATTAAATTACCTCTTCTATTTTAGAACAGACATTGTCTCGTCTCGATGTGGAGTTTATAGTTAAAGCTATTATTTACATTCTGCTTAAGCACAAGGGTGGTGTTCTTCATTGCTTCACCAACTTTTTGAAAAAATGAAATTGCACCGAGTCAATCTGAACTACCTCTCGGTGTGATGTCACAAGTTGAAAAAGTAATGATAGTCACTATCTACCTTTTCTAAAGCTGTGTTCAGACAGACAATAGCACTGTGTGAAAAAACAGGGCCCCTTCATTCATTTAAATGAGTCCACTGAGACGCAGGGGTTGTTTGACAATAAAGTCAAACCTAGCTTAAATTTTGCTACAATCCAATGCAACATCATCGACACACCAG